CAAGCATCCATAGTCTCAGCTACTTAGGAGGCTGAGGCAAGAGAATCACTTGAGCCCAAGAGTTTGAGGTTGCTATGAGCTGTGACACTGTGGTACTCTACCAAGGGTAACATACTGAGACTGTCTCAAAAAAAAAAAGTAGCTGTTATGTTATTATGTTAGAGGAATATTCTGTCTCGTGCTGCCTGTCATCAGGTTAGGGACTGTAGGTTAGTTGAAGCTGGAGCTGTTGGTGGCCCTAAACTCCTTCCCCAATCTGACTAAGCTTTTTTTCTCCAATAGCTCATCTCTTCCTAAACTGACTCATCTTTTTTCTTCTCTTACCAGTGACCAGGCTGAGGCCCGCAGGTCAAAGACCAAGGAAGCACGCAAGCGTCGTGAAGAGCGCCTCCAGGCCAAGAAGGAGGAGATCATCAAGACTCTGTCCAAAGAGGAAGAGACCAAGAAGTAGAACGCCCCCCCTCTTGTCTGTACATAGTGGCCTCCATGACTGATGATCAATCATTCAAATAAAACAAGCCTTTATCTGGTTGTTTCTCTGTTTCTTGCAAAGTTTCTGGCTGTTCAGTGGGTCTTAACTGTTTAGAGGTTCAGAGGTGACCATGTACCGAGGACTGGGATGCAGGCCCTGTCTGAGGGTGCATGTTTCACATTTTATTTCTTCCTTCTACTGAGGCTATTTTCTTAGGTCAGGCTCCTGTCCCATCCATTGTGAGAATTGTATGTGTCTGTTTTGAGACAGTCTCACTCTGCTGTCTCAGGCTAGAGTGCTTTGGCATAGGCCTAGCTCACAGCAACTTCAAACTCTGGGCTTAAGTGATCCTGCCTCAGCCTCCCCAGTAGCTGGTTCAGGTGCCTGCCATCATGCCTGGGTAGATTTTTCTATTCTAGAGACAGGGTCTCTTAATTAGGCTGGTCTCCACCTCCTGAGCACGGGGTCTGTGCCTTGGCCTCTCAGAGGGCTCAGATTACAGGGCATGAGGCACCCACTCCCAGCCAGAAGGCTATGTTTCAGAACTGTCTTTGGCAGCACAGCATGAGAGGAACCTAGAAATTGGTCTCAAAATGTTGGTTGAGACCAGTAGGCGGTTGTGACTTCAGTTAAGCAGTCGCATTTTTAAAAAAAGGTGTGGTGGCTTATGCTTATAATCCTGGCGCCCTGGGAGAGCCAGGCAGGTGGATTGCCTGAGCTTATGGGTTCAAGACCAGCCTGGGCCAGAGCCCATCTCTAAAAATAGCCAGGCATTATGGTGGATGTAGTCCTAGCTACTCAGGAGGCTGAGGCAAAAGAATTGTTCGAACCCAAGAGTTTGATGTTGCTGTGAGCTTCGACACCACAACACTATGGAAGGCGACAAAGTGAGACAAAAAAACCCCCAGGCCATTCAAAATGTCTCATGCCTGAAATCTTAGCATTCTGGGAGGCTGAGGCTGGTGGATTGCCTGAGCTCACAGGTTCAAGACCAGCCTGAGCCAGAGCAAGATCTCTAAAAACGGTGGGCCACTGTGGCAGGTTCCTGTAGTCCTGGCTACATGGGAGGCTGACATAAAGGGGATTGCTTGAGCCCACAAGTTTGAGGTTGCTGTGAGCTGTGACACCATGGTACTCTACCAAGGGTGACAAAGTGAGACTGTCTCAAAAAAAAAAAAAAATAGAGCTGAGTGGAGTGGCTCAGGATTGTAATCTCAGCATTTTGGGAGCATCTGGTGGGAGGATCCCCTTGAAGCCAAGAGTTAGAGACAGCATGACCAATTCGTAACTTGCCTTGTCTGCAGGTAAATGAAAGCAGTCTGAGAATGAGATCTCCATTTCTACAAAAAAATTGAAAAGTTAGGCAGGCAGGGTGACAGGCATCTGTAGGCCCAACTAAGGAGAAGACAGGCAGGAGAATCACTTGAACCCAGGTGTTTTCAGTGAGCTATGATGAGCCCACTACACTTTTAGCTCAGGAGACAGAACAAGACCCTGTCTTAAAAAGAAAATAGGCCAGGCGAGTTGGCTCATGCCTGTAACACAAGCACTCTGGGAGTCTGAGGCAGATGGATTGCCTGAGCTCAGTAGAGTTGGAGACCCTATCTACTAAAAATAGAAAAGCTAGGGAGGTGCCTATGGCTCAAAGGGGTAGGGCACTGGTCCCATATACCAGAGGTGGCAGGTTCAAACCCAGCCCCAGCCAAAAAAATAATAATAATAAATAGAAAAACTAGTCAGGCTTTGTGTATACTCAGGAGGCTGAAGCAAAGGGATCGTGTGAGCCTGAGAATTTGAGGTTGCTGTGAGCTAAGATGCCAGGGCACTCTACCCATGGCACAGAAAAGGACAGGCACAATGGCTCACACCTGTAATCCTAGCACTTTGGGAGGCCAAGGTGGGTGGATTGCTTGAGCTCACAAGTTTGAGACCAGCCTGAGCCAGAGTGAGACCTTGTCATAGGTGGGTGTTCTGGCAGGCACCTGGAGTCCCAGCTATTTGGGAGGCTGAGACAAGAGAATCACTTAAGCCCAAGAGTTAGAGGTTGCTATGAGCTGTGACATCACAGCACTCTACCAAGTGTGACAAAGTGAGACTCTGGAGGGAAGGCGGGAGGAGTGAGGGTATTTGGAGGGACCTCACCTAATGTGCATGATGCAATGGTACATTTCAAAACTATTAAGAATGGCTAAATGCCTGTAGTTCAGTGGCTAGGGCGCCAGCCACG